TGAATCCAGAGGGCAGACGAATCGAGTGACGATTCCGGGTCGAAACCGATCACGTAAACGCGTACAGCCGTGTTCACACGATCACAGACTCGGAACAGCACACACGGTTACGTGCAAAAAGAAGCGCACAACACGTAAGATTGGGCACCAATGCCAGCATAAACACATCACCAGTGAGACGGATACGACTAGTGACTCGAACAACTACCCCATGTGAGAAGAAGGCAAATACGGATGTTTATAAGTTTTGTATACTGCATATGGAGTGCCGCTTTAGTGTTTGTTGTTGAATGTCCAAGCGCACTGACCCCGGAACGTGTAGTACACACACACACACACTCGAACACGGTAACACTCCTGTCTCCGTCAGTTTTGTGTGCACCGGTCTAGCAGTTCGTAATTAACACACAAATTCAAATTGAAAAGGACATCGCAAGTCCACACCAATAAAGAAGTTTTCTTATACTGGTCAAGCTAAACAAAACTTGATAAATGAAATGGGAGAATTCCGCATTTTTATTGACAGCGACACAACCACCGAATACATGGACACATTTGAGTGGCTACGGTAGCAAATTCTTATATATCTTTTCAAGGGATTGTAAACCAAGTGCGCAAACACAAATTCAAGAATAGTTTAGTGGGGTAAGACCAAGAAACTGTATTGTTAGGATAGAACGTTTTATTGTCAAGATTCGGTCTATTCTTGCGATGAAGAGTCTCTATCTTCTTTCCAATTTGGGCGATTTACACGTTTGTCTAAAGCTTACGCGTTTTAGTTCAGAAGTTAGACGAAAATCATCTATTCCGTATATCCAGTAAGAAAGTTTCCTGTCGGTAGTGGTTTCATACAGCAAGTCTGTTAACCAACTTCAAGTACAGTGAGTAATTCTGTTGGCGGTTTGAAATTCCAAATTTTGTCATAGGACGGACTAAGGAGATAAAAAAGTAAACACTGACCAAGCAATAGTAGTCAATGACGGCGGAAAACGTTACCGTTGAATCAATGTCCACTGAGAAATACCTATGAGAACGAAGTTTGAGCCACCTAAGATCATCGATGCCGGTGCCTCTAAAAGCCTCAGTATGGTCGGGGGTAGGTGTCTA